ATATTGAATAATTATTCTTGTTACTATCAATTACTCATTCCTAAGCACATGATTTTATGTATTTTAATGTGCTTTAATATTTTGGTTTGCTTTTTTATACCCTTCATTTTTTGGAGGCAATTTTGAATAAATTGAAATATAATTGGCTTATCTTGAAAAAGCAACCACTTTATTAATTATTGTTGAAGCCAGACGAAATTACCCCTATATAGACCCTATATATGTTTATGTATCTGGTATATAGGAATATACCTGATCACACATATTAATGAATATCGCTCACACATTCATATACTGAGATTTACATATAGATATGAAGACAAATAGTAGTAGTCAATGCATAGTCATTCGACCGTAACATACGATGTTAGTCCATTGATGAAGCCCTAACCGGCAAAACGTTTGGAATAACCTGAAATTTACAACATATTATGCTTTTGAAGTCTTCTTTGTTCATATTCAACCAAGGCATGGACTCGAATCTGGGATTTTTTGCATACACGTCAAACATCATTACCACTTGGTCACGAACACATTCAAGTGCCAGGTAGAATTTTACCTGCTTTCTTATTTTTTTTTTTTTTTTATCGTGTCTGACATCACGATGTTTATATAGTGCTAATATCGCACGTGCCTAGACGCCCCTTCTGTGCATTATTTTCAGCCTGTTTGAACTTGAATGAGATACTTGCATATAAAGTGATTTTAAATTAAGGCATGGAATAACCAAAAACACAGGAAGTAGGAAAATACAATATAAATTGAAACTTAACAAAAGAGGAATCTGACAATGAAAGAAAAAAAAATACTCGGACTCGAAACCTTTAGCATACAGGGCGACTGCCATAGCAACTGGAATCACTAAGAAGGAATTGTGGTGTTCAAGTGTAAGGTAGAATCTGATTTTTATGGTGCTAATATCGCATGTGACTAGACTACAATTTTCAGCTTCCTGGATCTTGAATAAGATACTTCCAACCGCAACTCGAACCCGGTATTTTTCGCATCCAGGGCGAACGTCTTAGCCACTTGACTACGAAGGCATTTCGGTGATTCAAGCGCCAGGTAGAAAGTTTTTTCCATGCCTTATATATTCAAAAAAAATTTTTAAACAGCGTTCTTCTGTACAGTACAGAACGTAGCATACAGTAGTGTGGAAACGTATAGTCGAAACAGCAGGCCAATGTAATTAATGGGTTTTAAATGTTACGATTTTAAAAATACATCAAATGACGCTGACATTATTTTTTTAATTACTTTCACAAGGCTGTGTTTTTTTTTCAATACCAATAACACATGCAACAGTATTAATATTTAGAAAAAGAGTACCAACATTTTTTGTTCTTTTTTTCATTGAACGTATTAAACTTGATTTAATTATTTGTTTATAATATAATTTGTTTATAATATAATAAAAACTAGAAATTGCAAATTGCAAGTGAAGTGCTGCGAAGTACAACTGCATAAAATGTTCTTCGAACAAAATGATTTATGCGAATCAAGTGAAAATAATGAATAATAAAAATATAACAAATAATATGAGCACGACCCATTGTCTATATATTATTAGAACATCGTTGGTACAATAG